TATTCTCATACGTGGGCGTTTCTGGGTGCGCCTAGATTTTAGGACCCTAGTGGATGTGTGAAGCATGTGGCATTGATTGCTGCAGGCATGGGGCTATAGATGTTGTGTGTTTCCGATGCCTATACACTATAACTACTGTTTATACCAGTTTTTGAAAAGGATGACCACAATTTATAGGGAACTTAAGGCTCACAGAATTCACCCTCAACTCTCTATAGACTCCGTATGCCCCAAAATCTCTAAGCGGATGACCGACGGAGTGAAGATCCCTGTGGCTTTACTTTTGGAATTCTAAAAAGGTTGTCGATTCTAATCAGTATATATGCACATATACCAGCCCCGAAGTATCTAAGCGGTGTATGCGAGGGGAGATTAGCAATCCTATAAACCCTAAGAACTTTGTAGCCACAGCTGTGGCAACCAGCGCCACTGGCTGCCAATGGGGGTGGTTCCAATGCCGCGATGTCCTCGGATGTACGACAGGTGCGCCCTCTTCACTGTGCTTCTGCGTTTTTTTCAGAATTTGGGAGATACACATAGCACTTCGGAGTAGTTCCTCTGGAGAAATGAGGGTGTGCCTCTTAAGAGCTCTTGTTGCAAAAGGGGGTTTGTTGCAAAGGGGTTACCGGCTTCTTACACACCCCATCTTGTATGGACGCTACCATATCCATTCGGAGGCGCTAGGATTGAAGGTAGGTATTTTATCATGCCGGCCCCGACTCCGGAGCTGGTTGAGCCCTCTATAGCTAACTTGATGCAGGTATGTGTATAATAAAGTATGTCTCTGCCCTTATAGCATAAATATACTCTGGATCAATCTTATACATGATACTTCACATCCAGCATAGGGGGTGGCATGATAAATATGTTGCAAGGGCCAAACAGGTTTTTCTGTTCTGGGTCTGCAGTTCTTGGTTTGGCTTTGCAACACAGTTGGGATGGGGTTGGATCGCCATGCAAAAAATGTGCGTGGCCGAAGTAGCCGCCAATGAACTTCCAATTCTATCTGCAGGATTTCTTGATCAAAGCCTCCACGTTTATTACAGGGTCCGGTGAGTGCCTGGCTTGAGGCATGCCTTCGAAAAAGGTCGAGGATGGGCGTGTGGCTACCTTTGAGGAAGCCGAAAAGATTGGAAAGTTGTGGGATCAGTACGAAGAGCTGAGGGATTTAGGGAAACAGGGCCTGCGGATCATGAGGGACATGAAGGGAGGTGATACTGTCGCTGAAAGCCTGGCGAACATATCTTTGAACTCGCGGGTGTTGCTTGTGCTAGCAAGGGACATGAAAACCCGCCACCGCCTCAGCGCGGACTCCATGGACGTGTTGATAGTGATGTTCCTAAGCTGGTACGACTACAACAAAGTGGCCTACGAAGCCAACCCTAAGTTCGACCGCCAACAGTGGGCCTTCAAGGATTCCTGGTCAGCACACAAAATGCTGACCAAACTCAGACCCAAAGTGCTGAAAGGCGAAACACCCCGAGACATTTGGCTTCCATTCAGTTTGGCTTTGTGCTTTACAAGGTTACTTCAGACCGAGGTTCCTAGATATATTTATATATAGATGTAGACAGATATGGGGGTTTTTACAGTTTGCACGTTAATGTTAGGGGCTGGTCATCCAATATTTTTCCAAGGATCCCAATGTTCTGGATGTCTACACGGTTCTAAAGGAGAGCTACGAGGCAAGAAAGGAGGTGCGGAGGGTTCATGGTTTTCTAGGTTATTTGTGTACTTTTGCCAACAAATTATGAAACTAGCTACAGTTCTATAAGCGGCATTGCTTGGGGCGCAGCATGTCTGCTGCAGGACCTGCGCTTGAAGTCCACTGGCGGGCGCCTCCCGGATGTACCCTCAGATGATAATGGTGAGCGCCCCGCGGAGGGAGAAAATGAAGAAGGTGAGAAGCGTGGAAATGGTGATGTGAGTGAGGGTGGTGTGGTAGGGGAGGATGATGAAGATGCTGACCCCAAAGATCTCACCAGCATGCTGGCGAGCTTTGATGATGAAAGCGACCTGCCGGCTCCCTCCAATGACATTGTTCAAGTCGGCTCGCCAGTCCATTGCCCTGACAGCCCTGAGAGCTACCCAAAGGCGCACACTCTCGAGGAGGTACTTGCGTACTTTGGTGAGCTGCGCGCAGGCAACTCTCCCAGGTCCATGCCTTCGCCATGCGATGTGGACAGCATTGTCCCTGCGCCGCCCAGTCCCAAGCCCCTCCCACCCAGGCCTGAGATTCCCACGGTGGACTCCAGCCCTGAAACGCATGTTGTCAAGCCCGGGAAGGACAAAGCTACCCCAGCACCGCCAATTGCCCGCTTGAAAGGTTTCCAGGAGCTTGACCGTCCCAGCCCTGACTCGGCATTGTCTTCGAAGCTCACAGGTGCTCAGCGAGATTTGTTTCTTGAAGGTATGCCGCCAGAAGCTCGCGAGTATGATGGACTCTGAAAGGAAAGGGTGCCCAAAAAGCCTAGTAGACAAATCATATGTACATATATATATATATATGTATAGTCCCCCTTATGTACATAGAATGTGGCTTTGAATATATTGTTGATAAGATCCCCATGTATACCCCATATTCTATCTACTCATGGGGGACTATATATAGCTTGTACATTGTCTCAAGTGTCCTATGTCACCACTTTGCTTACTTGTATTCTTGAGCACTGGGATTGGGGATGAGATTTATGATATCCATAGTTATCAGGGCGGGATCCTGTTCTTCCTCTCTGCAGAAGAGTCGTGCTGCACGCCATGCAAATTAAATTCAGGTGGAACATTCCCCAAACAAGTAACCGGAAGGCTCAATGTCAGATGGCAAGGTTCCAGTGAAAATACAAATGGTCCTGGCACCTACATTGCCGTTCCCTGCAATTTCGATTTTGGGGGAGTTGCCCGCTAACAACCTTCGGGGTGGCTATGTTTTAATTGGGGACATAGAAAAATAATCTGTGTAATTTAAACACTATAAACGTAGAATAATTGTGCGCGTATATGTGGGCTGCTGAATTTAGCGCTGCCAGGGCTCCGGATTCGAATGCCTCCTCGGCATCGACGGATGATGCAAGGAGCGCGCCCGCTGGAGCTGCCCCGGCAAGTTC